AGCTGGAGCAGCAGAGGTCGCAGTTGTTGGGCACCGCTGCTTGGCCACCGAGCGCTGCAGGTGCTGGGGCCCGGGGATCGCGTGTCTCTCGCAAGCCCCATCGAGGATGCTGAGCTCTCGGTGGAGCACTTGGGCGAAGTGCTGCGCGGCCTGTGAAGCTCTGAAAAAGCTACGGAAGAAGTCTCGGGAAAGTACAAGAAGAAGAGGGACGAGAGGGAGGCCAGCATGGCAAGGGCAGCCCAGGGCACTGCTGCCAGCGACGGCGCAGGCCCCGTTCTCGCCAAGGAAGAGGATGACGGCATGGAGGGCGCGGACGATGGCGGAGGTGACCATTTCGACGAGGGCACCTTCGACGCGCCTGCGCGGAGGAAGGCGCACGCCGAGCAGGCTGCTGAAGGCGGCGGCATTGCCACTGCTGCACCCGAGGGCGACGACGAGCTCAGGTTTTTCGCCAAGAGCATGGCAGGGCGCGCGCGGGCCATGGCCCCAGTGGGCAAGCGTCGCCAAGTACAGCCTGCAGGAGGAGGTACTGGCGCATGCGCCTTGGGAGCGTTTCCGCGAATGGCGCGCAGTGCAGTCTCCCGCCAGGGAGAAGTCTACGCAGCAGATCATCACGTTGGATGTTTCGGGAGTCCCGGCCTTGCACGACTACCTTGTGGATTGCGAGGCCATGGCCCTGGGTGTCCAGGAGCGCCATATGGTAGAGTCCAACGTGGGAAAGGTACAGCGCCGGACTGCTCGGCTTGGATGGCATGGGTTGCGGGCCCCTGCACTACCTGGCCAAGGGCAGGACTCTTCTGGTGGAGCGGCGGCTATTGCCCCTAATCGCGCGGAGGTGATGAAGCCTACTGTGGGCGAGTTCATCATAGAGCCAGGGAGAGCGGTGGCTGCACATGGGATGGGTGGCGTTCCTGGTGGCTTCCTGGCTGCGCCCATCTACCTGCACCACTCGGAGCAGCATGACGCGCGAAGAGCTGCGCGAGAAGGGCTTGCACTTCTTCAGAGGGGTGGTCAAGCAGCCGGCCAGACCGACTCGCTTGACGTCGATCCCTGGACGCACTCTGGACTACTTCGTCGCGCCCTTGGCCTTCACCGTGCGCACAAGCAGCGCCAGCGCGAGTGGGTTGACCACGACGTTCCCGCACCTTCCGGTCTCGATGCAGGCGAAGGGCCACGAGGAGGAGCTGTGGCGTTACAAGTTATAGTGGAACCCAGGCCTCTGCATGCTCGCGCTAAGCCAGGGTGTGCGAGGCCAACAAGTGGATGGAACGAGCTTGCATACGATTTCGCGAGCCTCAAGGACGTGGACGAGCTTACGTGGTCCTGGGATGTTCTGATGCAAGGGCTCCAGCTGATGCAAGGGCTCCAGCAGGAGGTTGCCGAGCCTGAACGACATCGTTGGGGAGAGAGTGGCGGACTGAATCCAGGTGGACCCGACACCCTGTCGGGCAAAGAAGCGACTGGAAGTGCCGAAGATTGAGCCGCATGCGGGTCATGGGACACCCGAGGATGCAGCCTGGCAACCACGTTCGAGGTGGATGCGACCTCTGAGGTCAATGGAAACTTCGTGATCCAGTCGGTGAGTAAGGACGATGGTGCAGCACAAGACAAGTTGTGCAATCGCTTGTGGGAGTTCACGGACCTGGTGGACGCGATGGCCAGAGCCCATTCCACGTGGAAGTACTTGTCCCAAGAGGCCTGAAGCAAACTGGAATATGGCTATCGAGTGTTGGTGATGCCAGGATTCGAGGCGCAGGTGGACAAGGTGCTGGTGCAAGCCCATGCCAAGGCCCTGGAGAAGCAGAAGCGGGGCCGCGACGGTTGGAAGTCGTGGCTGCAGAAAGCATTTCGTGGAGGGGATGGCGCTGCTTTCAAGATGTCCAAGGTTACGGAGCTCCAAGAAGTGGCTGACGCGGGCGATGGAGTCCAGCCTCATGAGCGAGTGGAGACGTGTCTCCAGGGATGGATGGACATCTGGATGGAACATGAGGACAAGTTGCTGGACAGGCCGCCTGATTTCGCTGAGTGGGCGACGCTTCCTCCTCTTACGGCTGCTGATATGCGGGCCGCTGCTGGGAAATTTCCTGACGAGGCGGCGCCGGGCCCTTTCCGTGCGCACCCGAAGAAGTTCCAGAGGTTACCGAAGGTTGTCTTGGAGTGTGTTGCGGTGGCGTTCAGCAAGTGTGAGGAGTTGGGGACCTGGCCGCAAAATTAAGTGGCTTCGGACATGGTACGTCTTGGCAGACCAGAGGGCGGACACCGATTGATTGCCCTGCAAGGTGGCGGGGTCGAGCGCGGAGGAACGTTTCGGCGCAGTGGGAGCAGCAGCACCAGGATGGTGTTCTGGGGAAGTGGCAGTGGTCGCACCTCGTCTGACAGCGCGTTGGACCTGAACGGGGCAGCCGCGATCGTCAGGATGACCGATAAAAATGCGATTACAATGCTGACGGACACGGCCAAGTGTTACGGAACGATTCGGCATGCGGCCCTTCTTTGTGAGGCTCGGGCGGTTGGATATCCACTACGTTTGCGGTGGTGCTTGATGATGCAGAATTCGCAACCACGATGCATTCGGGCCTTTAGAAGTCACTCCAGCACCGTGCAGGTATCCCAAGGCACCCAAGCGGCATGCAGTCATGCCAACACGTTGCTCGGAGTGCTGTTGTACCGAAGCTCGAAGGATACGCAGAGGATCTATAGGACTGCGCAGCCGAGGGCCCTGATGGATGACACGTCCTTGCAGCGGGTAGGCCGTGACCCTAAGTGTGCTGGTGACGCGTGGAAGGCGACCATCCATTTGTGCAAGCGGACCAAGGAGCTGGGCCTGCTCGTCCAGGCGAAGAAGTCGCATTTCGTTGTCACGCCGGCTGTAGCGCAGAAGGCCTGGGAGAAGTGCTTCCAGCGCCCGGGCACGGCTGCGAGGCAGCACGCGCGCGACTCGGGGCGCGAATGCGATGGCAGCCGGGCGAAGAGGACCATCGAGAAGCGTCGTCTCAGAGGTGCTGTGGATCGCGCGCCGAAGCCGAAGATGCCCAGGGGTGACAGTCGCGCCAAGGCAACTTTGCTTCGGCGGGCCAAGGTGTCCAGTTGCACCGGCGGGCCGCGGAGGCGGCGCGTCTGAAGCGCCAGGCGCCGCGACGGTCAAGTGGCGCAGCCTGGCGGGGACTGTGGCCGGGTGCCCCCGGAGGGGGGAGACCGTCGACGCGCCACCAGGCTACGCGGAGGCAGGAGTTCGTGGATCCGATGCACGATGCGGCGGCCGACCTGGTGGAGCGCCATGCGGCTCGGCAGCGGGGAGGCAGGTCACCAGGTGCTGACCTCTGGCACGCATGGTCAGGGGTCACAGCACGGCTGTCTGAGAACCCGTCGTGGGCGTGGTGCAGACCTCTCGCTGCTTTGACGACTGGCTCGCATTGGTTGGGAGTTGGTCAGCCCAACCCACATCAAGTCCAGAGAAGGTGTAGTGATCGCGCCGTTGACGGCGCCGCCTAAGGAAGTGCGCGACCTGGTCATTGAAGGGGTCAGGCAGTGGCAACACAGTCGGATGCTGGACCATGCCCCTGAAGCGACTGGGACCGAGCACCAGTGGCATGGGGCCATGCGTGGAGGCATCTCGTCACCCCCGCCCCAGCAGCAAGGAGCGGCGAGGGCGGCGCGGTCAGGGGCCCTCTCATGGCGCCCGCCACGAGCCAGCAGCGAGGACTTCAGGCGAGGGCAGATTGCCCGTGGTGCACGGCGCCGCGTGCATCGCGCGGCCACCTGTGGCACGAGTGTGACGAGTTGGCGGAGGATGAGGAGGTGGACCTGCCTGAGAAGGCGAAGCTACAGCGGCGACGGCTCGGACAGAAGGCGCGGGACCAGGGACACGGCGAGGCCTGCTATGACTACTTCGGGTTTGCGACGATGCTGCCTACCATCCCCAACATACCTCCACCGTTGGACGACCCGACTGCGTTCTCTACTGGGGCCTCGACAGCCATGTGGAAGATATCAGGCAGCAAGGTGAAGGTGGAGGCGCAGCAGATCCAAAAGTTTATCGGCCACGCACAAGGAAATGGGGGCGTCGTGTGTTGCGGGTGGGCCGTGGTGGGGCTGGACCAAGACGGCTGGCCGTGTAGAGCAAGATATGGCGGTGCGCCGGGGCGCAACCAGACTGTACCTTATGCGGAAAGGTCTGCGGCGGCGCAGGCGCTGAAGGTGGCTGCTGTCCCCGCCGTGGTGGTCACGGAGCACCTCTCCCTGGCTGGCGAATCCAAGAAGGGCTGGAAGCGCAACGCAGGCCCGAAGGCCAAGCACGCGGGACTGCGGCGACAGATCCAGAACATGTGCGGGAGCAAGCCGAAGCCCAGGTGCGCGCGGCAGGGGTCGCGCTTGTCCTACGACCAGGCTGTGGACAAGTGTCGCGCCCTCGTCGACTGGCTCGGCAACCAGTGGGCGGATTTCCTCGCAGGCCTGGGCAGAGACGACGTGCTTCTGGCCGAGAGTTCTGCGCGGGACTGCGAGTACAGGCTCGAGAATGCCGCGGGCGCTGCGGCGACGCTGGGCCAGTTGGCGCAGCGCCATGGCGGAGTGGGCGCAGAAGCTGGAGACCAAGGCGTTGGCCAAGGACCACAAGGAACCGATGGTGGAGGCAGCAGACCTGGACCACGAGCCGTGGCACAGCCCCGACCCAAAGGCACCACGCGAGTGGAGGTGGCGGCAGTGTAACGCGGTGGCGAGACCAGGCCATGCAGTCCGAAGTCTCCGTACCAAGGCCAAGCGCAGGCACTGTGAACACACACTGGTCGAGAGTTGGCATGCGGATGTGCTCTTTCGAGATCATCCTGCCTTCGTTCATGTGACCGGCTCTTCGGCTGAAGCTGTTGAAGCTACGAGGCCACCAGTCACGTGTGCCCTGCGTATGTTCTGTGAGGAGCTTGGGCACAAGCCAGTTGTCTTTGGCCCAGTTCACGATTTGCAAAACGCGTGCGCAGTTCTGCATCGGTGGGGGCCGAGTCAGAGGGCTGAAGGCAACGTGCCCTGGGCAGTCAGAGCGCACGCAGGCGCTTGCAGCGCAGAGGACGGCCATCAAGCTCGCCACGGACCAGAGGCACCCGAAGTCTGGAGTCTTCTTGGGCGCTGCAAGCGGGGGCCCCGATCGTGGCGTCGGAGGTGCACTGCCCCAGGTGGCCAGGGAGGTGCATCCCACTGGACTGGGGCCAGGGTCGGCGCCAACTGGCCCTGGGCGGCGCACACGAAGCGCGGCTTCCGCGTCGACTGGGAGAAGGGGGGGGGCCAGCAGGGGTGCCCACACGCTCGGTGCCAGGGAATGGCGGGCAGCCCCCGACAACTTGCCCGACGCGGCCAACGACGCGCAGGCCGGCGCGGCCACGCTGGCCAAGTTGACGCCTTGCCCCTCCTCCCCATGCGGAGCCAGATGCAGTGCCGAGAAGCAGAGCCAGGACGCCCCAGCCTGTGAAGCTGCGGATCGACTGCCCCCGGGCGGCCGGGGACGTGCATCCCCCTGGGCCGGGGGCGAGGACTGCGACCTGGGCCAGCTCTTCCTCGTCGTCGGTCCTGGCGGGGCAGCCGCTGCTCCGCGGGGGGGGGGGGGGGGGGCGGCCGTGGCCCGGCTTGCCCCGTGCTCGGAGGTGGTGGACTGCGACCTGGCGCGGCTGGGCGCGGTGAAGTCAAGGAAGCGCGCAGGGGCCTGCTGGCCCCGACCAGCCGTTCTCCCCGGGTGGCCGGGGGTGTGCATCCCCCTAGACCGGGGACGAGTCCTGCTGCGAGGGCCAGCTCGTCTTCCTGGACGGCGTCTCCTCCTCCTCCTCCTCCTCCTCTCCGCACTCCTCCTCCTCCTCCTCCTCCTCCCCTCCTTCCTCTCCTCCTCCTCCTCCTCCTCCTCCGCCTCCTCCTCCTCCTCCTCCTCCTCCTCCTCCTCCTCCTCCTCCTCCTCCTCCTCCTCCTCCTCCTCCTCCCTCCTCCTCTCCTCCTCCTCCTCCTCCTCCTCCTCCTCCTCCTCCTCCTCCTCCTCCTCCTCCTCCTCCTCCTCCTCTTCGTGCATCCCCCTGGACGGGGAGCGAGTCCTGCTGCGAGGGCCAGCTCGTCTTCCCGGACGGCGTCCGTCCCCTGGTGCGCTTCCCCGGCCTGAGGAAGCGGAGACCCCCTTTGCGCTGAGGGGGGCGAGTCGCTGAAGTCGGGCAGAAGCCGCTGGCACGTGGGTCGAGGACCGCGCGCGCGCGTACGTCAGGCACCGCGTCGGATGGGAGCGGGCGGGTTCCCCGCACGGACTGCCACAGGGAGTTGAGGGCAGCCTCCGACAAAATGCCCGACGTGACCGACGTGGTGCAGGCGGGCTCGGCTGCGTCGGCTGAGCCGACGCCGTCATCCGCCTCCCCACGTGGAGCTCGGTGCAGTCTCGAAAGGAAGTGCCAGGACGCCCCAGCTCGTGGTGCTGGCACTCGTTTGCCCCGAGTGGCCAGGGCAGCGGCGTGCATTGCCCTGGGCCGGGGGCAGGCGCTGCGACGAGGGCCGGGTCTTCCTCGTCTGCGGCCATGGTGAGGCCGCCGTTGCGCCACGACGGCGACGGCCTTGGGCAGGCTTGCCCCGTGCTCGGAGACGGTGGACTGCGACCTGGCGCGGCTGGGCGCGGTGGCTCCAGGACAGAGCACAGGGGCCCGCCGGCTTCGCCCGTCCGCGCTGCGTCGGCCAGGTCGACGCGTCGTCAGCCTCGTGGCCGAGGAGGAGGGGGAGGAGGAGGAGGAGGAGGAGGAGGAGGACAAGGAGGAGGAGGAGGAGGAGGAGGACGAGGAGGAGGAGGAGGAGGAGGGCGGAAGATGGAGGAGGGGGGAGGGAGGAGGGAGGAGGGAGGAGGGGGGAGGGGCGAGGAGTTGGTGTTGTATCGCCCCGGGTGGCCGGGGATGTGCTGTCCCCTGGACTGGGGCCAGGACCGTCAAGCGCCAGGACCGCCAGCCGCCCTCATGGCGTACAGTGCTCACTGGGGGAGCTGCTGTGGCTGGCAGAGCACCCCGAGGCGGAAGCCAGGCGTTTCTGGACGAGGAACAGAGCCCCCGGTGGGGCTCGCGACCCCCACGTGACGAGGGGCTAGGCCACGGATCGGGCAAGGCGCTGGCGGCTGCCAGCCTGCGGGCCGGAGGTGCCCTTGCCCGGGCGCGGATGGCGCTCTGCAGGCCTCGTGGCCATCGCACGGGGCGAGCTCGGGGGCCCGGGCGTCGGCGCCGAGGGCGCGGGACGTGCCTTCCCCTCGGCGGCGCCCTCGCCCCCTGCGCGGCGAGGGGTCAGGCCGCCTGCTGCGACGCGGGCGCCAGTGGCCGGGAGGTGCCTTCCCCGGGGCGGCGCGGGACGTCCCCCTGCGCGGCGAGGGGGCAGGCTTATGTCGGGCGTGCCCCCCGACAGGGGGATTTTCGACGGAAGATAAAAAGAATACCCCAAAAATAGTCAAAACGGAATCCAAAAACAGTCCGGGGGCTATTTTGGGAGCATGTTTTGACCATTTGGGGGTATTTTTTGAGTATTTCTTGTTTTTCGTCGAACTTCCCCCTGTAGGGGGGACCCGCCCGACGTAAGGGTAGGCCACCACATCGGCTTCCGCGGAGGGCGAGAGGCCCACCCGTGGGCCCGCCGCGCGTCGCGGCGGCCTGCTCCGCGACGGGGGGTCGGGATCCGGCCCCGCCTCGGAGGCGCGCTCTCCTCCTCCTCCTCCTCCTCCTCCTCCTCCCCCTCCCCCTCCCCCTCCCCCTCCCCTCCTCCTCCTCCTCCTCCCCTCCTCCTCCTCCGCCTCCTCCTCCTCCTCCTCCTCCTCCTCCTCCTCCTCCTCCTCCTCCTCCTCCTCCCTCCTCCCTCCTCTCCTCCTCCCTCCTCCTCCTCCTCCTCCTCCTCCTCCTCCTCCTCCTCCTCCTCCTCCTCCTCCTCCTCCTGCCCTCCCCGCATGCCTCACCCCGGGTCCGTCGCGGGAGCGAGGGAGCAGTGCGAGGGGCCGACACCAGGGACGGAACGAGGACGGAGGGAGGAGAAAGGGGCGGAGGGCGAGGAGAGTAGGACGACGCCGACGAGGACGGCAACGGCAAGGACGGCGACGACAGCGCCGGCGAGAGGACGGAGATGGCAGCGGCGACGCCTGCGGCGAGGGCGAACAGGAGACCGTGGAGGGTCAGCAATATGGAGAGCATGGAGGAACTGGAGGAGGAAGAAGAAGGGGCGCAGGGGCATGGGAAATTGGAGAATGGGAAGAGGAGGAGGAGGAAGAGGAGGAGGAGGAGGAGGGCAACGACGACGACGAGGACGAGGAGGACCGCGAGGAGGGGGAGAGACTTCGGAAGGCGGAGAACGAGGAGGAGTGGGAAGATGAGGGAGGGAAAGAGAAGCGGGGGGAGGGCACGTCTGGAATTGCAGGAAGGACTGCTTCTGCTGGCCCGTGCCGGGCTTCTGGCCCTCTCCCGTGTTCGTGACGTCGAAGAAGAAGCTGATCGTCGTGTTCTTGTCGAGGGAGCCCACGACCTCGGATTGGAGAAAGAGGAGGAGGAGGTTCGCAGCTTGGAGCATTTTCGCTGCGGCCGTGATTTGTTTTTACGACGCTACGTTTTGCTCACGACGTCGGATGCCCCCAGACCTCAAACGACTCGAACTGTTTCGAGGAATGGGCCCTCCAATCTCCCGACCCTATCCCTGGTGCCGACGTCTCGTCCCGAGTCATTTTGTTGACGGTCCTGGGATCCGAGACCGCCCCCTCGAGGCCGAAAATGGTGAGCGCTTTTTTATTCGGCGATTCGATTTTGGGCGGAAAGGGGGGGGTGGAGGGGGGGTCTGGCTCCGGACCTCTGCTTGGTGCGGCTGTTTAGGACCGTGCGTCCATTCTGGGGGGAACCCCACCTGCTCGAAACGGGCGCCAGAAACAGCCAGGATCCACTCCATAGGGGGGGGTGCGAGGGCCCGCGCTGATCGGCAGAACAAGGACTAAAAAAAACGACCACATGGTGGAGCCTCCGGCGTGACTGCTTCGAGCCGCCAAGAGGCCTGGGGCCAGGATCGACCACCGCTCAGCCAACTCCGGGCCCAGGCCAGGGCTGGGCCTCTGTGGTTGTCGGCGCCGGCGGGGCAAGAAGGCACACTCTGTCAAGGCTGGGCACGGAATGGGGCTGTGGAGGCTCCAGCGACGACGACGACGACGACGACGACGACGACGACGACGACGACGACAACCGTGTGGGAATTAGCAACTCCTGGCGGTGGCCCCCCCACGGCGAGGAGGAGGAGGAGGAGGAGGAGGAGGAGGAGGAGGAGGAGGAGGAGGAGGAGAGAAGGAAGGACAGGGAGGAGGAGGACAACGAGGAGACAAGAGCAGCAGGAGGAGCAGCAGCAGCAGGGGCGGAGGAGGAGAAGGAAGAGGATGATAATAGAGGAGAAAGAGGAGGTAGAGGAGAGGAGGAGGAGGAGGAGGAGGAGGAGCATGGAGGAGGGGAGGAGGAGGAGGGGAGGAGGAGGAGGAGAGAGGAGAGAGGAAGAGGAGGGAGGGGAGGAGGAGAACGAGGAGGAGGAGGAGGAGGAGGAGGAGGAGGAGGAGGGCTGCTGGGGGCTCGCTTCGCTCCGCCGGCGGGCCCACTGGCACGTCCCGCCCACGCCGATCTCCTGGTCCGAGACGCTGGATCCTGAGCGAGGCGAGGAAGGGCGAGGCAGGAGGGGGAGAGGGAAGGGGGGGGAGGGGGAGGACGAGGGGGAGGAAGTGGAGGGGGAGGAGGACGGGGAAGAGGAGGGGGGGGAGGGGGAGGACAGGGAGGGGGAGGAGGGGGAGAAAGAAGAGGGAGGAGAAGAGAAGACGGAGGAGGAGAGGGGGGGAGGGCGAGGGTGGACGTGAAAGAGGGGAGGAGAGGGGGGAGGGGAAGGGGGGGAAGGATCCTCTCTTCCCCAGCGAAGCGACGCCGCCAACGGCCCCACAGCACTTGAACTCCCGGGAGGTGAAGACCTCGAGCTTGGCGTTGAAGCCTGTGTTCAGGTAGCCCGCCTCCCAGCCGCGTTCTCAGGGGGGCGACAAGGGAACTGGGCGGCCCTTGTCGGAGGCCTGTCGCACGCGCGGTTCAGCACAACGCGGGAGGGCTTCGCGGAAGCCTCTTCTGAGCAGGCTCCTCAGACGGCCTCAGTCACGACGCGTAATACGGACGCGCGGTAGGGATGCACGGGCCTTGGAGGGCCATGCTGGCGTTTTCAAACGGGGCTGACCAGCGAAAGTCGCCAAGGGTGGGCCGAATGGGGCAAGGATGCAAGGGCAGCAACCTCACTATGCAACTCGACTCTAGAAGGCGGGAGGCAGACACGGAGGAGGAGGAGGAGGACGACGACGACGACGACGACGACGAGGAGGCGGAGGAGGACGAGGAGGAGGAGGAGGACGAGGAGGAGGAGGAGGAAGGAGGAGGAGGAGGAGCAGGAGGGAGGAGGAGGAGGGAGGAGGGGAGGAGGAGGAGGAGGAGGAGCACGAGGAGGACGAAGGGGAAGGAAGAGAGGAGGAGGAGGAGGAGGAGCAGGAGGAGGCAGAGGAGGAGGAGGAGAGAGAGGAGGGTGGGAGGGGGAGGAGGAGGAGGAGGAGGAGGAGAGGAGGGGAGAGGAGGAGGAGGAGGAGGAGGAAGAGGAGGAGGAGGAGGAGGAGGAGGAGGAGGAGGAGGAGGAGGAAGAGGAGGAAGAGGAGCATTTGTTTTGACATCCGCGGCCAATGACCCCACTAAGTGGGGCAAAAAGTTGACACACCGACTGTGTCCCCAACATTCTTGGGGTGGAGTCCCTTGCCGGGCAATCTCCGATTCGCGCTCTTGCGCGGCGCGGCAGGAGGAACGCACAGCTTGCCCAGTTTGTCCAATCATGCCCCCGAAGTGAGGGCACCGCAAGCCTGGCAAAATACACATGGAACTCCCGCCGCTGCAACATCAAACCCCGCAGCGACGGCCTAAGGCATCGAGGGCCAAAGGCTGAGCTCTCACGAGCTGCGAACACTTGCCCCCTGAAGGTCTCGCCCTCGAGCGGGACCCACGGAGGCAGTTCGGGCACTGACAGAAGGTGAGCGTTTTATTATTTGGCGTTGCGACATTGGGCGGAAAGGGGGGAGGGGGGGTCTGGCTCCAGACCTCTGCTTAATGCGGCTGTTTGCAAGAGTGTTGCCTCTGGGGGAGACTCCACCCGCTCGAAGTAGGAGCCAAAAAAATTGCCAAGATCTACTCCATGGGGGGGGAGGGTATGGGGGCCCGCGCCGATCGGCAAAACAGTTAATAAAAATACGATCACACAAAGTCCGTGGGGGGATTTCCATACAGGAGCCGCTCCTGGCCTGGAGGCGGGGGGGGCCCTCTTCGGCCCTCGGCTGGGGTTCCGGCGGGGCCCCGTCGAGCCGGGCCCCCAGCCACGGCGGCAGCGGGCGAGCGGCGAGCTTTGCAGCCGCTCTCGAGACCAAAACCAGCAAGTCAACTTCACTGCGTTCAGCTTCCGACGCCGACGGGCGCAGTTCTGCGCCGAGTTTGGCCGCTAGGTCGGCAAAACCGTTGCCGACTCGGCGAAGCAGCACTTCCTCATCCAGAGAGTGATCCGAAGACAAGTGAAGCGCAACCTTGTCAATCCCTTCAATGGCACCCTCGAAAGGGCGTCCGCCTGAAGGATGAGGCCCAAATACATTCCCTTTATATAGGCAACGCTCTGGCCTCTTCAGCGCCCAGAGCTTCACTACATTAGATCAATCAGACTTAAATCGCGCCTTGTCCTGGGAGAAATAGGCGGAGGTAGAACAAGGGACGGCGAACTCCGCTGCCTGACTACTCCGAGGGCTGCTAGACGAGAGCGGGCCGTACAGGAGGGCCCTCAGGAGGAGGAGGACGAGGAGGAGGAGGAGGAGGAGAAGGAGGGGAAGGAGGGGAAGGAGGAAGAGGAAGAGGGGGGGAGGAGGAGGAGGAGGAGGAGGAGGAGGAGGAGAAGGGATGAGCAAAGAGGAGGAGGAGGAGGAGGAGGAGGAGAAGGAGGGGGAAGAGGAGGAGGAGGAGGAGGAGGAGGAGGAGGAGGAGGAGGAGGGGTAGAAGTAGGGGGACGGGGAGGAGGCCGAGGAGGAGGAGAAGGACGCGGAGGAGGAGGAGCGCAGCGCCTCACGCGTGTCTCCCGAGCGGCCGCGGGCGCGACCGACGAGCGACAGCGTGGCGCCCTCACGCCGTGGTAGCGCAGAGGGCAGGGTAAAAGACACTGCGGAGGGAGGACCACTCGTGGATGAAGCAGTCCAGGAGGAGGTAGACCCACACGCTGAGGAAGGCCCACACGCGGATGAAGAAAACAACCCGCCGAACATGAAGCAGGAGAGCGACACGGGGACGCCAGTGACGGGGAGGACGTAGAAGCCCGCCCTCCTTCGCGTGACCCACAACCCCGAAGCATTGCTCAGCCAAAGAGGGAACACCGAGGGATCGCAAGCACCTCATATCGGAGAGAGATGATGCCACTCGCTCCGCGGATGGAAGGTCACGGAGCAACCTGCAGACTGGCACGGAGGGCCCCAGTCGACAAGAGCACCATATTCCTCTGCATGGCCGAAGCCTCCCACCACGAAGTCGACGCTGTGCACGGTGCCGCACTGGCCCAAGGACATGGTGGAGAGGCGAGGGCGGCCACGCCGCTTGCCAGGACCACATGTCACCAAACGGCCACTGACTTCGAACCTCATGCCAGTGTGTAGGGTCCTGGCAGCGGCAGTTGCACCGTGAGCCTCACTATGGGATCGGCTCACGGCCATCGCCCCGCTAGCTTCGCCATGGGCTTGGCTAACTGGGTGCGGTTTGTCATCTTGTCTTTGACTTGAAGCACTGGCAGCGCCTCGATCAGCGAGACTGCACGGCCCATCGTGGACCTCATCAACCTCCACACGATGAGCCTCGGAGAACGCATCAGCCGCCACCCCGAAAGGCTGCCGGGTGCTTCCAGCAGAGTTGCCTCGCGACCCCTGCCCCGTGACCCGAGCGTCCACGGGGGCACAGGCAGGCGACCGCGCGGCAGGCCTGGTCGGCAGGGCCGCCAACTCAGGCGTGGTTCTCGATGCGAACACGCCTGACAAGCCGGTTGGACTGGCACTCGTAAAGGGCCCCACCTTGGCGCTTGCATCATGGACGCACGCCCTTTCAGTCTCCACGCTAACCGTGGCCCCGAAAGTGCCAGTGAACAAACCTGCGGCCCCTGTCTCTGCACCAGCTTTCGTATCCTGGATACTTCCGCAGTGCCCTTTGCAAACCTCCTTCGCGCCGAACGTGAGCACAGAGGGCTGCGCGCATCACTGGATTAGTGTCGCTGGTCTTCGACTGGGCCTCTCTGAGCCCTTCCCCCGACTTCGCGTCAGAGAACTCCAAAGTGGGCACTTGAGACACCTGGCCAACAGGTGGATTGACAGGGCCGCCATCGTCAAGCCCACCAACCTTGCCAGCTTTATCCGTAGGAGACTTCTCTGGAGCGTCGGGGAAGGGCGTCTCCATCTCTGCCATGTCTGCGGTGCCTGCGCCATGGGCGCACACAACCTCAGCTAAACCCGCGCCAGAAACAAGTGGTGAGGATCCAACGGAGACCGCATCGCATGGGACGGAGGATCGGCGCTCATGGGGAATCGATCCATCTTTGACCTCATGTTCGACCTCTTCCGCTTCCTTGGGCTCAGGCGCCCCTTTGACACGCCGTCGACGACGAGGCGTAGACATAAGAGCACCCGACTGGGCAGGAGGCGCGGTAGGTAGAGCGACAGCTCGTGGATCTGGAGCACCTGCTGGAGGTAGTTGACACAACCTCGGAAGGGACAGCCCAGCTGGATGACCACGCTCAACATCGCGAGGAAGAACCTGGGCACCTTGAAGGCACACTGGTGGAAGATCCGCTTCTGGGGGAAGTTCCGCGACCGGTGGATGATCGCACTCTCCATCGCGAGGAAGAGCATGTGCACCAGGAAGGTCGTCTGGCGGAAGTCCCGCGACTGGGGGAAGATCCGCAACAGGTGGATGACCACGCGCACCATCTTGAGGCACACGCACGCCATGGACACCTCGCGAAGACTCCAGCGCCTGGCGCAGGGCGAGGGCGAGGAACGACAGCTCCTGTCCTCGATGGCCCTGCACCTCGGCGAAGGCGCGGAGGAGGTGCGCCGCCGACCTGCCCTCCGCGCGGGCGTACTGGGCGCGACGCGCCGCTGCAGTGCGCGGGGGGCGTGGGGCGCGCGGCGCAGTCGCGCCGCCCGAGGCCATGGCGGCGGCCGCGGAGGGCGAGGGAGGGGGCGGGGCGAGGGCCCCGTGGCGCGGGCGGCAGAGGGGGGCCCCGACCCGCTGGCGCGCGCGGAGGAGGAGGAGGAGGAGGAGGAGGAGGAGGAGGAGGAGGAGGAGGAGGAGGAGGGGATGAGGGGGGGCCCCCTTCGGATGTGGCCAGGAGAGCGTCTTCAGGACCGCCGCGGGAGCCCCGTTGGCCTACGCGTGGCCCACACGGCCAGACAGGGCTTGGCTCCCGAAAACGGGCCGGAACAGGGAGCACCACACGACGACGGATACCTGGATAGTAAAGCTCACACCGCTGGTTTTCTGGCGCCACCAGGCGCCGGCAATTTCCACCCCTTCCGTCCACTTCCGTGGCCCACGGACGCATCCGCCAACACCACGCGTACACTTTACGTGGCCCAGACGCCCAGACAAGCCTTCGCGTGGCCCAGACGATCAGACAGGCATTCGCAAGCCCTGGTGGTCTTCGCGTGGCCCAGACGGCCAAACACGGCTTGGCTACCAAGAACGGGCCAGAGCAAAGAGCAGGAGCAAAGAGCACCTTGGGAGGGGCAGGGGAGGAAGAGGACGCGGAGGAGGAGGAGGAGGAGGAGGGCCCAGACGGCCAAACACGGCTTGGCTACCAAGAACGGGCCAGAGCAAAGAGCAGGAGCAAAGAGCACCTTGGGAGGGGCAGGGGAGGAAGAGGACGCGGAGGAGGAGGAGGAGGAGGAGGAGGAAGGAGGAGGAGGAAAAGGAG